CCTTTAGAATGAGAACATCGGTAAAGCTGTACACTCATTGGATATCGCGTGTCGCGCGCGACGAACATCGCGCTGGTGTGCCGGAGCCATAATGCGTTTTCATTTTAAAGCCGGGTAAAGGCAAAGTTATCGCGAAATTCAAGAAATTACCGTAGTAACCTAAAAGGTTCACGCGCGAAGTGTAAGACGCAAAAAATTTACCGGTTTCTCGTTAAATCCTTTAAGGATTCGTACCGTAAATAGCGAAGACGCGACAAATGCGTAGATCGTAAATCGCGAAGATAGAAACTAGCGCGTAGATCGGATGAAACCATATTGCATCATCCATTAGTGCGACGCGAGCCGACATATCGCGTTATATAGAGATAGAGGGAGACAGAGATAGCGTCAGGAAGTGTGTATGTAGTGTGAGTGAAACGGGATGAGTGATTTGGCCTTTTATCGTTTTATGTTCATTTTATGAATAAATTTTAATCTGTGTTAATCCAAGTGCCTAATTAATTATTTCTACGAACACCATCCACGAATAAATTGTCAAGACACGCTACATCACGCTGAAACATCCACGACGAGGATTCTTGATCCGAGCGGCCAATCAAAGCGAAGGAAGGAGGGAAGCTAGCCAATCAGCGACCTTCTGACCGTTGCGGCCGACAACTGGAAAAACTCAGGGACAAAGAAACCTTCTCTGTTAAGGTTAAACAGAGTGTCGACCGTTGAAGTAAGTCACAACGGATGATTATTATCCAATTAAATTGAGAAAATATAAATAACACCGAATTTTAATAAATTACGGCATAAATCCGGTTACAACATAACGTCTACTAAACGAAATAATTGTATTTAACTCAATTAAGTGAACTTTTATTAATCTTTGTATTCTTACCTTTTATATATTTAATTTAATTCTATCTTTGTTTCAGGGTCACCAAGGTATTCTCAGTATCATTTTTACGGTAAGTATTTTTCATTTTATTCCATTATCTCTTTTTATCTTTAATTTAATTTATCTTTACTTTGTATTTCTTATTTTAATTATTTGTTTCATGTTTTAGATTGATTACTGGAATATGCTTGGCTCGCTGTATTGTGGGATCATTAGGTAGGTTGAGTAATTGTTTAGTGTATATTATATTTTTATCTTTTCCCATTATAGGTTATATCAATTAAAATTGTTTTTTATTAAAATAATGAAACATAACTCTTTTTTCTTAAAATAGTTGAAAATAATTAATTTCTGATTTATAATCAGTTTGAAACTTATAATAAATATTACAACGCCTTCTATACGACGAGACCTTTACAAGTAATAAAATAATCAAGTATTAATAAAAAAAATAATATTTAAAATTTAAAATGTAACAAGGCTTATTACGAGCTACAATCTTAAATAATCTAACATATCAATAAAACAATCTATATAGTTTCATTCATTACACGTATACTTAAAACAAAAGTTTGAATGCATACGCAAAAGTTTGAATTCATACACAAACGTTTCGGCTTACAAAGCCTTCTTCAGTGTTTTAGTCTAACATAAATCCGTATATAACAATTTTATGAAACATTCAAATACTACGGTCCACTCACTCAATATAATTGTCAAAAAATTCTTTCTTTTTATACATAATACAAAACATTTTGCCTACATAACTTTCCATACTAACGGTATCGTCATTCATCAATTAAACCACAATCGTCAGAATAATTCAATTATGTCAACCAATAACTGACTCATGGTCACCCAAAGCGCACACAATGGTAGAAATTCCTTAATCTTTGTGTCAAAAACTTCATATTGTCTTGAGATAGCAAGAACAATCCGCAATCTATGATATTCTGTCAATTTAATCAAACACATTCTTATATATATGAGATCAAATAAATAGGTACAAAATAAAGATAAGATATATAAATTCTGTAGAACAATTAAAAAAAATCAACTAAATTTATAAATTAAAAATCCAATTAATGAAAATTAAAATAAAGGTTAAAATTAACCACATATGAGAAAATCTATAAACAATTAAATAATAAAATTCAAAATATCGATAAAAATAATAGATAAATCAGAAATCTTACGACAATATATATAGAATGCAGTCCTTACAATCCCAATTTTTTTATATTTCGATATCCTTCAACACTAAATACTGGTCAGAACATTTATAATTCAACTAATAAATTGAATTAAAAGAAATAAACTCAGTTAACAATATTGAGAAAATTTAACTTAGATGTACGTGTTGAACGTTTAAAGTTTAACTGAGAAATGTAATAGACCAAACAAAAACAGTGAGCGCTCTACATGTAACCTCAAGCCAGTTCACAATATTACAATTTCTTATCACGAATATCAAAAATTATGTTTGAATATGACTTATCTAATAACTCTGTATCCTTCATTAAATTCAAGCCTTTCTTCTGCTCTTTGATGTGAATCATTTCAGATATATTTCTTTTCCTATAGTTACTCTCAAAATCTAAAATATTAACAGCATCCCAATTAAATTCATGATTATTTTCATTCATATGATTAGTAATAACAGAATGTTTAGATTGATCCAATTTAAAGTTATTCTTATGTTCTTTTATTCTCGTTTTCAATTGTCTCTTGGTTTGTCCAACATATGACGCTTCACAATTCTTACAATCAATTTTATAAATAACATTATTATTATTTTCCTGTTCATTCTTATCTTTTTGAACTTTAATAAATCTATTCAATTTATTTAAACACCTGTAACCAATCATGTAATTAGCTTTATTAATCGATTTTGAAACCTTGTTACTAATAGAATTAACATAAGGGATCACCATGAGCTGTCTCAATTCTTTATCATCGTTAGTTTTGTCACATATAACATCTTTGTGAGCTAAAGTCCTAATTCTGTTATTAATATTTTTGAAAATAAAATCTAATGGATATCCATTATCCAATAAGACCTCTATTACAAATTCCAGATTTTTACTGTAGTAAATAGGATCCGATAATGAAATTGCTCTGTCAACAAGACTGAATATCATTCCGATCTTATGACAAGTTGGATGATTGGAATAAAAAGAGAGATATCTACCCGAGAAAGTTTTCTTATGATACCAGTCGATAACTATTTTGTTATCTTTGTTAACAATCAATAAATCCAAAAAACAAAGCTCATGATTAACCTCCCGTTCCACTGTAAATTTGAGCCTCATATGTTGTTCATTAAAAACTTTTACAATTTTAGAAATTTTATCTTTAGAAGCAATCATAAACGAGTCATCCACATATCTGAAATATATCAAATCTTCCAATTGTAACAATTTAAGTGCCCTAACCTCAAGATCCTCCATTACAATGTCAGCCAAGATCGGAGAAAGGGGGGAACCCATAGGTGTGCCAAACGTTTGCTTATATATAGTGTTATTAAAGGAAAAATAAGTTGATGTCAAAACAAATTTAATCGCTTCCAAGAACTCTTTCTTTGGGATGTTCGTGGAACACCCTATGGAATTCCACCTTCTCTCAATTCCCTCTATCGCTAGTTCTATAGGAATATTCGTGAAAAGAGACACAACGTCCAACGAAATCAGACATTCCGTTTCATCAATCTGAAATCCATTTAATCTTTTGAAAAGGTCAAAACTATTCTTTACTTTGCTCCTGGCAGAAGGAATACTTTTTGAAATAATGTCTTGTAAAAAACTAGCTAATTGATATAAGGCTGTATTAACTGAAGAGACGATAATCCTGAACGGAATTCCCTCTTTATGGATTTTTGGTAATGCATAGGCTTTAGGCAAAAGAGAATCACTGGATCTCAGACACCATAATTGACTATTATTAATGTAATTTTTTTGGTGCCATTTCTTTAAAAGATTATTGAGACTTTTTTCTAAATTTAAAGCAGGATTCTTTTTAACCAAAGTATAGGTTTCAGTGTCATTCAATAACTCCTGAATTTTATCATTATAGTAACTTCTATCCAATGCCACAGTAGAATTGCCCTTATCAGCGCGGGTAAAAATAATATCATCATTGTTCTTACACCAATTGGTTGTGAATTTCAACATACTATTAATTTTGATATCGTGAGAATTCAAACCTAAACTATTATGTAAAAAATCACTTAATTCCGGAATCACTATATTTCTGATATGTGTAACAAAAGATAAATTATTATCATTAGTCATGCTCTCTATGTCTTTTATAAATTCTTCATCAACTTATTTTTCCTTTAATATTTATTTATTTTTATTTTTTATTTATGTTTATTTTTACATCAACTTATTTTTACTTTAATAACACTATATATAAGCAAACGTTTGGCACACCCATGGGTTCCCCCCTTTCTCCGATCTTGGCTGACATTGTAATGGAGGATCTTGAGGTTAGGGCACTTAAATTGTTACAATTGGAAAATATGATATATTTCAGATATGTGGATGACTCGTTTATGATTGCTCCTAAAGATAAAATTTCTAAAATTGTAAAAGTTTTTAATGAACAACATATGAGGCTCAAATTTACAGTGGAACGGGAG